AAAAGTTATACTGTAGTATAAATACATATAGTCTAAAAATGGACACAGACGCACATGAACTGCGTGCATTTTTGCATAAAAAATTTAGTATAGTGATTAATACACATAGGATACGGTCAAAGTCTCACTACAAGTGCTTAGAAGCATTTGATTGACCAATTACAAGAAAGAATTTTATGAATTGACTAATCAAAGAATTCAAAACATTTGTGACATTACGTTGATTCATAGTAAACGTCTTGGTGAGATCTGGTGGGAACCTGCAACTTCACTAATCTTTACTTCTCTCTTTCCCCTTTTCACTCCCCCCAAAAAAGAGAAAAAAAAACATTAAGAGAAATAGATTTTATATTTTACATGTGTGTGTGTGTGTGTGTGTGTGTGTGTGTGTGTGTGTGTGTGTGTGTGTGTGTGTGTGTGTAAAATTTATGTTTATGTTACATATAGCTCTCTTATATCATTTTCTAATAGGAATAATTTCATATGGAAATATCCATGATTACATTATGTTTCATGATGGAAATTAAATTTGTAATTCCTTCGCGACTTTATATTATCTTTTTATCCTGTTGCATACACAGATGAAAAATTAGCGACAGAGAAGCAGGTGCCTTTGAGATCGTCAAGCTAGTCATAATAGCTGATCCGTCATGTACGAAGGATTCGGAAAAAAAAACACTTCTTTGCTATATGCAAAGAAAGCCAAACATCGAAAACGCCTTATTATATGATACGTTAGATAGATGAACATTTCAAAAAATGTAAAACAAAGTAGGGCGTAAATTTTGTAATGTTGTTCCATTCTTGAAGAGATGTAGATTCTATCTATCGCAATAGAACAATTTCTAATTGATAATGAATTTATGAAAAGAAAAACTTTTTTATAACAGTACTGAAAATATGTATGTAAAAATTATTTGTAATTATTTGTTCTTTTCATAGGGAATATTTTCGATAAGTCTGTTTAATATTTTATCGCGATGTACATTCACATGCCTGCCGATATAATCTCGAGATATATTCTCCAGATATATTTCTTTCACTTCTGCTTCCTTATAGCTGCGAAGACAATAATATGTTATCAAAAAGCCGATACACACAAATGATATTAGGTGCAGTAAAGAAATCAATTATTTTTGCATGAAATTGAATGGAAAAATAATGGATTTCTTTTTACTATACCTAATATAGTACGTGATAAAAATGGAACAATGTAGAATTGTCCTTTTAGATTGTTTATAATAAATTATGTCTTCTCACGCGGTATTTATCGAACTGTGTTATAATTCTGTATTGTAGTTTATTTTTTAAAGATCATTAAAAATTGATTAATTATTTATGCTAGTACATAGATATTTTATGTAATTTACAGATAATTTGATAAATTATTTTGTTTTTCCTTATTAATATGTGTCGATAAGAATGTTTTATAGAATTATATAAACGTATATATCATAGATTTATTGTTAAATATCTCACACACACACACACACACACGCGCGCGCGCATAATCTATACTTTCTAAAGAACCGATATATATATATATATCTTATCTACATAGTTATAATTTTGATCTAATAAAATATGTTGCGATAAGTCTATGACATATACTATACGAACATTGTGTATATACATACACATGAACACGTGTGCGTGCGTGTATGTGTGTTCAAATTATAAATTATAAAGTTGTACAAAATAAAGTAAAATTAGTTAGTCTGTCCCCTTGTAATTAAACTTGTAATTTTCCTCTGTATATTTCATTGTAAAGTACAAAGATGATACATGTAAAAGAATATTAGTATTACTATGTATTAGCAAAATAATTGATCGAATTTAAGAAAGTGTATAAAGAATTGTACTTTATTAGCATAGAATTTGTACATTTTGTTGTATATTACTTAATAATTATCATTACATATAATTGATCATATATTGTATTTAGCAAACAAATGTGTGTATTAATTTAAATATAATTAATAAATTTGTTTCTAGCAATATATATATATATATGTGTGTGTGTGTGTGTGTGTGTGTGTGTATGTGTATGTATATATATGTTTCACACATATCGTTATGAATAAAAATCTTTTTTAAAAGCGAACATATACTCGCAATAACTTTCTATGTATAAGTATATGTATACCTCGAATTCAAATTTCAGATTAAAGTTTCGATTCGAGTTGGAATAATCGATTGTTGCATAACTCGATTCCTTTCGACTATAGACTAACTTTCGAGAACTCGAATCGAATTAAACGAAAAGAAATAAAAAATTGTCTCGGTTCAAATTTGACTTGATCTACCGCAAATCTCTAATTTAGCAAAATGATCCATCTTGAGCTACGTACGGGAATGCACATCGAATGTCTCCAAATATCATTTTATCCTTGTTATTTATCATATGTTAAACAAGAATAAATTGATACCTCGTGGTGAAAATTGTTCTCATAATTTTTATACAAATTGGAACATTTTTCAGAAATTACTCTGAAATATTCGGAAAGTTTACATCTTCTCTCATACAAGTGAATTCTGAAATATTCTGAAATTTCTCATCCCATAATTTTTAAAAAGTATTTTTAAATTTTTTAGATTTTGTAACATTTCATCAGAAATCATGCTTACAAAAAATCTTAAAATCTTATGATATTTCATAATTAACATATATGAAAAATTCTGAGAAATGTTCCAATTCGTATAAAAAATGTGAGAAAGTTATAAAATTATAGAGAAATTCTGAAAAATTATATAGAAATTTTTAAAAATTATATGAAAAATTCTGAGAAAAATTTTCACTAGGATCGGTATGTATTTTCGGTATTTCCGAATACAGCCTTGGTAGGAACCAGAAATTAATCAAAGAATTAATTTGCAATTTATGTATGCAATGTGTCATGAAGAATATACGCCTCGATATTTATTTCTTTTAAGTTTCATCAACTTTGAACGATTCATTAAACTTTTCTGATTTTTATACATATATATATTAATTTCGTAAGAGTATTTATAGAGAACTGCAACACCACTTTTCCAAAGTATGTGTAAAGAACATGAATATATACATATATTATATCATAGACGATTGCGATATAGATAAGCGATAATATTCACGTAATGTTGAAAGAGAATATTATCTAATGTTGACTAATATCTTGATATAACATCGTAATTCTAAAGATTCTCGCCTCCGACGCTTTGGAGACGCTTTGAACATTTCGAGAATTCGATATCGAAAAGGAAAGGGATTCAGAGAAAACTGAAAAGGCGCGAGGCGTGAGAGGAGCGCACGGAAAAATTGGGTCGATGCGCGGAAGATGGCGGCCGTTGCGTGATGCGCGTAAGAAGACTCGTACCGTACCTCGTACTTGGGTTTTGTGAAAAACATGAAAGAACGATAAAGTAAGGTGCGTAAATACACGCGAGACGCGACTCGTCGTAAAAAGAATTGCGCGCTCAGTTACTCGCGTCAAATCTCGTTTCGATCGCGGCAGTGTTGACGAACTTTGTTTACGATAAGCGGCAACGAGAGAAGAAGCTGTCTCTTATGGTTTTCGGCTGTCGTCGATCGTCGCCGTCGCCGTCGCCGTCGCGTTTCTAGACCGCCTCGCGGTCCGCAGAAATCGCACTCGCGACTCGCGACTCGCGACTCCAACTCGATCACAGATCAGACATCACGTCTATCTATTCATTGTCAGTCTACTGCAGTGGAGCGGTGGGAAAGAAAAATAGGAGCACAAACCTGCAACGGACGCATTCGACACTGGAGATTAAGTGTTGCCGGACTTGGGCCCGGTGAGAAGAACAGTAGAGATGCTGAAGCAATTGCAGATGGGGATGAGAGCTTTTCTCTTAATGGCCTCCCGTGTGTGGACCTGCATCTGCTTTCTACTCAAGAAGCAGGTTAGAGCCGTAAGTAGGTGCTATAGTGCTTCGCGAATCGCGCCTCTCTTTTCTCTCCTCTCTTCGCGCCTTCTTCCGTACTCAGGCATGCATGTCATATTACATATATATTTCATCTATCAGCTACTTCACTAATCGACGAATTCCTTTCTCACCTTCTACTTTTATCGCTATGGATGTGGATATTATTGACATTCATTGATGTAACAACTCTTGGACGTAATACTTTGTTATAACTTTGCACGAATCTCTTCATCTCTTTTCATCTAAAATTCAATCTATATTATTTGATATTGTAACAATTATTTAAAAAATTATTTTATAATAGCAACAATTTTGCTCAATTTTTTCCTCATTTTTTAAAAATAGATTTAACATTGCTATGTGTAAGATAAAAATTTATTCTTTATTTATAAAAGGAACTCAGTTTTATTTTCTTTTTTTAGCTGAGTCAAATCTTTTAAGTTATAATTTTAAAATAATGGATTATATATTAGTTGCTCCCTTCAGAAATGTTCATCTTTTTACATGTGTCTCATGTTTGTTTTCAATCAAGATGCAAGTTAGAGAGATGTAAGTAGTTACTTAACTGCTGCCATTTAATATTTACATGTGTATACAGTTGTATTTTAATTTAATTTGCGTAACATGAGATAAATAATACATCTACTACTCTAAATCTTTATTCTGTTTACATTTTTATTATTTACATCTCATGCATATTGCCATATTGTGATATTATAATTACAATCATTGTTTTTTATTGTAAAAGTATTTTTATTTATTTTATGTGACATAGGTGATATTAATTTCTGTTTTAATTTTCTTGTGAAGATCACTTTTTTTCATATATTTAAATATAATATACAAATAATATCTTTTTCTTATCATTTGTTGTAGATCTCACAGATGCAACCAGTCAAATATGAGATCTTCCCGCTTTCACCTTTATCTAGGCACAGACTTAGTAAGTATTTCAATGATGTATACATGAATTTTGTACTACCTTGTGTTTAATGTTTTTCAGTATTTATGTTTAATGCAAGAATGTTTCAGGTATAGTTAAAAGAAAAGTATTAGTACTGGATTTAGACGAAACTTTAATTCACTCTCATCACGATGGAGTAGCAAGGCCAACTGTCAGGCCTGGTACACCTCCAGATTTTGTTCTTAAAGTGACGATAGACAGACATCCTGTTAGATTTTTTGTCCATAAAAGACCACACGTAGATTTTTTCTTGGATATTGTTAGTCAGTGGTAAGTGTGTGTATATATATATATATATATTCTCTCTCTCTCTCTCTCTCTCTCTCTCTCTCTCTCTCTCTCTGTGTGTGTGTGTGTGTGTGTGTGTGTGTGTGTGTGTGTGTGTGTGTGTGTGTGTGTGTGTGTGTGTGTGTGTGTGTACTACTATTTAAAAAATAGTTTTCGCTTAGGTTTTATTCTCATGTTTTATGATACAAGTTCACATTAATTATTTCTTATTATCTATATCAATTAGGTACGAACTAGTAGTTTTTACTGCATCCATGGAAATATATGGGGCAGCAGTTGCAGATAAATTAGATAATAACAGAGGTATTTTAAGACGCAGATATTATAGACAACATTGTACGCCAGAAATGGGTTCCTACACCAAGGATTTATCAGCAATCTGTTCAGATCTCTCTTCAGTCTTTATTCTTGATAACAGCCCAGGAGCTTATAGAGCTTACCCACGTAAGTATATATTTATATCATTTTAATGGATTACTTTTTCTTTTACTGCCTCTCTTTACTGCCTTGTCTAGACTTTATGAAATGATAGAGTCAATTTCTATTTTTTAAAATATCCAATACATTTGTAAAGTGCATGTAATATCTTTTACTATAACATTTGTATGTGTATGTCATTAATGTGTTGTTCCATCTTTCTAGAAGTAGACAAATTTTACGATACCATATTTAATGTTGTCTGAGCAAACGTGATAATAATAATTTTGAATTCTGTTTTTAAAGAAAAATACAATACTATAATACATAATACATATGCTATTTAGAAAATAGAAAACTACGCATTTCATTTTCTTGACTGCGACATAAAATCTTTTCATGATTTGTCTTATATTATGAAAGAAATGCACATAATTCCGTGATGGATAAAATTAGAAATAATGTGCTACTATATATATATGTATATCTTATTCATTATATCTTCTTTCTTATGTCATAGACAATGCGATACCCATAAAATCATGGTTCAGCGATGCGGGAGACACTGCTTTGTTAAGCTTACTTCCAGTTTTGGACGCTCTTCGCTTCACACAAGATGTACGATCCGTTCTTTCAAGGAATTTACACTTACATCATACTTGGTAGCATAGCCGAGATTGAACAATATACTAGATATTCTAGAGTTGGAACTATTAGCAGTTTCAGTTAGCCTAGGATTATTATTGTTATTAATTAATAGCAACACTAGGTCGCTGCCTGTATAATGAAAGAGCCCTTCCTTTCTTCAGTCTTTCTTTTTCTATACTCGAACGGACAGCGGCGAGTAAATACCGAAGGGATGGTATTCAGCCAATGTATAATTATATAAGCACAAAGCATCCTAGGATAATTCTTGTACAGTCTATGTGTGCAGAATCATAAAGCAATTTTTTTTTACTTTTTCTGTAAGCCTTTGCCAAAGATCAAGATATGAAAATAAGATAGAACCGCACTAACCAGCAGGATTTTTTATTTTAAGTATATTTAAAACTTTTATTTATATATTTCGGCAGCACATTATGGAAGATGAATCAATGAAATAAAGTACTTTTGTTATTGTATATTATTAACCTAGGATGTATATATATATAT